ATGGGGTCATCTTCTAGAGTAAAGGACATGACTAAGCCTCAACGTCACAACATGAATCGTCGCATGAGGCAAAGGTTAGAGAAAACTAAACAACTACAGGAAGATGATCTGATTGATGAACTTGCTAGCATTTATGGTTGTCATCGTTCATGTCAAAAGTGGTTGATGATCTTATTGCTATTGATGTTAGTCAACATCATTGGCAATGCTGGGTGACAATATTATTGAGGTCGAAATGACTTATGAGTCAATGTTGTTGACGACGGTGAGATTAATGATTAATGTCAAAGTCATGCATTGCCTTATCTCAACCTTGTTTTGTGATGTTAATCATCTTGTATTGGCAATTAGGGTTTTCAATTTTCTCTTCTAGATTCCTTCATGTGACCTAATCCTCTCCCCATAATATGTAAAAATTATATCTATTTATAAATTTTTAAATGGAGACATTCCAGTTATTTTCTCTAAAAATAATAACAATGTGTTATACAATCCATATTGATTCTCTTATTCATAGAACAATTTATATACAACTTAATATTGTAATGTTATTAGTATTGAACAATCTTGAGCTCATTTATTCCATAGTATTGATCATAAGCACATAATATTCGAAGATCATTTGCTCTCTCACATGAAGTCTTGAAATTCCTGATAGTACTTTCAAATTTACGTGCATTTCGACTAGGATCACGACACTTATTTCATGTCTAGATTCTTTTCATCAAAACATTTGATTCCGTTGTAGCTTCATCAAAAACAAAATTTAGATGGTCAAATGTTGATTTTGAAAATTTCTTATTGAACTACTAATGTCAAATTTACAACAATTCAGATTATTATAAATTGATTGATGTATAATAAATTTATAGATAATTAAGAATTTGCTATAAATTAATAATTTACAAGGAAAACTTTTTATATTCAAATTTCGTGAGCTTACTTTTCCAACAAGACAAAAAATGGTCAATTTTATGAAGCGAATTCAATTAAGGCGTCGTGTCCTTTATTTTTCGCTATTTTTAATAGGCTAATACTTTGAAGGTTGACAGCGTCATATATTGGATGAAAATTTTGATAAAAAAACTCAGTCAAAATATTGTAATGGTTGAATTTTGATTCTAAACATGGAAATAAAAATAAAGAAGAACAGCATCTTTTCATTATTTTTGGTAAATATTTTGCTATAATTTTTTATCCACATATGCATCTTATTTTTCTTAAGAAAATTTGATTTTATATGTCTCATAATAGTGGAAAATGAAGCCCGGCAATTCATTTTGGATTAAGTTACCTCTTTTTGTATATGAGGACTGATTATTGAAGTTCGTCTATTCAAGCATGGCCCGGGCAATGATGAGGAGGTTTTCTGCTCTCCATCTGGTCGGCTTGGCTTATTGGCAATCACTAGTGGTGTATCTTTGTATTCTGCTTGGTGGCCTTTGTTACGGATGAGCGGCTATGCTTATCCATTTTGTGACATCAACTGTGTGTCCTGATACTTGTTTCCTCTTCTGGATGACCCCTGCCTACGGTTTGGGTGGTTGCAGAAAGTTCGCCATTAACTGAGCCCGACTGGTTTGTATCCTTGTGTCTTCGTTAATATATGTTGTTCCGACATGGCTATTTTTGTCATATATGTGTTGCTTTGTTCTTTGTTGGATTTGCTTGTATCTTTTCTTTATTGTTGAAATAAATTCTCCTTTTAGTTAAAAAAGAAAAGGACTCCTCTTCTTGTGTGCAATAGATCATATCAAGTTGGTGAGCCCTCACGAGCTTATAATGCTAAATCCTTCTCTTCACATGCCTCGATCCCATCTACGATCACGAATGAGCTCCCATTGTGAAATTGTCCGCACATCATTGATTTTATTGACGACCTTCCACTATGAAATCATTCCTCACACATTATTGATCCCATACAAGAGTCTTCAAATCCCCTTCTCACATGTTCCCTTCTTGCAAGTGGTGATCATGTGAAAACCTTTTTTTTTTTAACCTAAAGCAAATTTTATTATATAAAGGACCAATATAATACCTGGCCAAAGCACAAGAACAGGCCAATGAAAATAAAAGTACAACAACAGGATTATAATGCTCGTAAGGGCCAAAAGTCTGAAAACATATAAGTTAGACAGACTCAGATCGCCACCTGATTGCCAGACATGAGCCATCCAAGGAGGAATAAAAGGAAGTATCCAAAAATCGAAATCCAGCAAAACGGAAACCTCCACCAAGGTTGCCAACCAAGCCAACTGAAGGAAACCTGCTTCATCATTATCCAGATTCTAAATCGGTTCAAACTAGGTTTGAATCTCATTCAAACAATATCCAGATTCAAACAATTTATGTCAAGATGGGCTTCGAAATGCGGTCCACAACTAAAAAAAATAGAAATAATTTGATTTAAATTAATTTTCAAGCATATGTCTTCCAAAAAATAAATAATATGTACTATATTTTTAATTTTTAAATAAGATGCATCTCTACTCTCTTATCTAGATTGTTATAAACCGATGTTAACTTCTTCTTCTTCTTTTTTTAGATTGTTATAAACCGATTTTAACTTTTTTTTTTTTTTTTTTTTTTTTTTTCCATATTAGAGGATTCGAGCATGGGCAAGATCATGAGGGTAAGATTAGGGGTAATTTCTCTTATGTTGACCAACTAATCTGTGAGAGATTATTACGTGCGGAGTCCGGACCCAAAGAACTATCCAGTTACGTGACCGTGAACAAAAAAAAATGCAATTATTGTTCACAAGTGCGTTTCAGTAAGTGTGTTTTTACTCCGCTTTTATTGTTCAGAATTAAAAAACTAAATGATTATCTGAATCCGAACTTCGCACTTAATAATCTCTCCTAATATGCAACCCCATCTCATTAAAAAAACTTCTTAACAAGAAGCTTTCAGGTCAACCATGGAATCCTCCATGCTACTGACATGTACTTTGGCTATAAATTTTCTCAACACAATCATGTGAACTTCATCAGCATCATACAGACTTTTCACTTATATTTATTTAATGAGCACAAATGTAAGGAGCATTTATTTACAAAGCAAGCATTCATAGCTTTCCAGTGGAGGCATGGGCAGCTCAAACTTCTCAGATTTTTTTATTTTTTAGGGTTTACTAACCATCATTTTCACAGGCAGACTCTTCAATTAAAATAAAGACATTCAGGCTGAGACAACCTAACATATTCTTTCATCCCAATCCAGCTTTCTCATTGGTTGAGCATTTTCATCAGATGTATTAATTTAATTGCTTGAATTTATTTGAAAAAAACAATTTACAATATTATATCCAAACATCTTTATTTACAATATCTAACATATTGACATTTTGCTTTTATTTTATTTTTGTTAGTTTTGTGTGAAATCAAAAATCAGATTGTGCTGTTGACACGAATCTCAATTTCGTCAGTCGAACTTATCGGGTGTTGCAAGGAGTCACCATTTCTTTTCGTGAAACCATAATATGATGTGGTGTTATTACTCGAGCCTGCATTTGGTTGGAAACAAACAGCGGAGCGTCGTGACGTTGATAGTCAAGCTGGAGACAGAGAGTTGAGCATTGCGAAGCTCCAAACCCTAGCGTCACGTCACGGCACTGTGAGTCGAGCTGGGCGATTTTTCTTCTCGTTTTTCATATTTAACTTGAATGGTTCAATCCCTTAGTGCAGTTGAAATGTCTCTTTGTCAGTTATGTACAAAATGTTGCAAGAAGTGAAGAGAGACAAGCAGAGAGAGAGAAAGAGAACCATACAATTTCTCCCATTTTCATAGTGAGTTTCTTGATGTGATTTTAGTTCCACATCTGTTCATTTCCTTCGCTTTCTTTTCTTGCTCATTTCGCTGCGTGATTTTAGTTCCCCAACATTCTTATTACAAACAAATCATAACATTTTCATATTGAAAAAAAAATTGAAAAGAGTAAAATCAAATGGAACTAACATCATCTTTGACCTGTGTTAATTTTTTTATGCAATAATTTATAACTAATGCTAGCGGTAATAAAAATTTATAATTTACTTTCATGAGGTAGGTATTAATGGATTTTCACATGATAGATGGCAGATAAACATTCCTTCAACAACAGCTATCAGCACCAATAGAATGAGAAAAACAATTAAATTGAACCCAATCACCAACCACCATTATTATACAATCCAATAGCCAAATATTTCAAAATGTCGTAGCTTATCTTCAATGGAACTCTATTTTTCTTTTTTCACGTGCTTCTTTGTGAAGGTAACAATCTCTTTCTCGTTTCACGCGCTTCTGCGAAGCTAATCATAGTGCGAAAGTAATCTTTTTTGTGTAGGTGAACAGTCCGCTACCAATATTGACGTCGCACTGTTCACCTACCAATTTTTGGCGTGAGATTTAAAATTCGAATGCAGCGATTCGCGTATGGCATACAATAATATGCAATTCGATTGGAGATGATCTTACCTACTATATTTGTAGTAAGATTTCACATACATTTTTATCTTACATAAATTCCCTTTAATTAGATATTAAATTGAAAATTAACCCAATCTTTTACCCTAAACTTTGAAAATGATAGGTAATGAACCCTAATTTTAAACATTTAAGTCACATATTTCTCTAATAATAATATCTTAACGGATTTAAAAAGGGGACGATTACATGTATACCATACAATTCTTACTAACTTACCAAGCTCTTACATCAGAAATTTAATATTTATTTTTATAACACTCAAATCTTTAAATCATATCAAAATTATTATTAACTCATTTAAATTTTATTTGGGATCATTTTTTTATTGTTTTCTAGAATAATTTTTTAATATAAAGTTTTTTAGTCCCAAACTAAAGCTTCGTGTGGGATGACTTTCTTCCTGCTTCTTAAAACATCTTTTTAGTACAAAAATTAAAACTTTTATACTAAAAAATTGCTGTAAGAAGCAATAAAAAAGCCGTTCAAACGAAACCTATCCCTAAATATACAACACAAACAAAACACCCGGCTTGGAAATAAATAATAGAGTACACAATTTTATAATCACATCATTCTGATCAGTGCAATGCTTCCAAACAACAACAAGAACATTCTAACTGCCATGAAAAAGCAGACTAAAAAGCTAAAAGAAAAAGGTCACCTAGTTTAAAAACAAGAGCAAAGGAAAAAATTTTAAAAAAGGAAAGGAGTTCATCCTTGAACTCCTGGAAGGGATGAAATCTTTCAGTAATACAAGATAAACATGGAGGACAATCTCTACTGCGATAATAGAATGAAAAAACCAAGAGGAATCGCTTGACCTGATCACCAATGAAATTGAAATGAAAGAAACATATTAAAACACTTAACAAAGTTCATGAATCCGCACCTGCAGATTTGGTATGCTCCACAGAATCAGTCAGTTGAGAAGACTGATCGTTAGAAGTGACCTCAGTGTCACTTGGTTCCAGCTGCTGGTGCCTCTGTTCTTGGATATTGGCAGTAGCTCCGGTTAATGAACGGATCCGTTCGATCCGGGCTACGACCTCGGCCATGGCGGGTCGACTGTCAGGATACTGAGCTGCACAGTCTATGGCAAGCTGCAACAGCTGAACCATCTCATCCTCCACATTCTGGTACCTAAGTAGCTCCAGATCGAAAACTTCTGATGACCACTCCTCCCTAACTACTGACTGCACCCACCGCGGGAGATCGACGCCTTCCTCATTGAGGAGGGCCTGCGCGGGGGCCTTGCCGGTGAGCAGCTCGAGCAGCAGGACCCCGAAGCTGTAGACATCAGCCTTCTGCGAGACCTTGCGGATGTCAGTAACTTCTGGTGCTCTGTAACCGGCAATGCGGCTCGTGGTGGTGCTTGGTCCAACAAGAGTTGCGAGCCCATGGTCAGAAACGCGAGCTTCGTAGGTTTTGGTAAGGAGGACGTTGGAGGACTTGATGTTGCCATGGGAAACTGTGGGGCTTTGTGAATGGATGTACTCAATGCCACGAGCAGCACCAAGAGCAATGGACAATCTTGTCTCCCAATTTAGGGGTGTTCTTCCAGATCCTCTGTTGCCTGTAAGATGGCAAATAACACATATTAACATACATATCCATAGAAAATAATGTACCTCAAGGCTCAGAGAGATTATTACGTGCGGTGTCCGGACCCTCTGAAGGTGAATCCGGACGCGCTACGTTACCCGGATGCACCGGGCCCCACATAACGTGGCGCGTTCGGATTCGAATCCGAACGAATCCGGGCGCTGCACGTAATAATTTTCCCAAGGCTCGAGAAACTCTCTTGCAACTCAGATAGCATTAATTTATCCCTACCCAGACCCTTTAGAAGCAGGAAACACTATCAATCTTGCAAATTATAGTTAAAAAATATACTAGCCAAAGAATCTGCATTTATTCAAAACACAAAAAAAAAATCATGTGCAAGATCCTTTGAGCAAATACAAAGAAACAACAACATCAAATCTTTATCTCACTACATGGAGGAGGCAAATACAAAGAAAGAATATGCAATTATATATGATAAGAAATTACAAATAGTACCGTGGCTGGATGAATTTTAGAGATTAAAGATTATTTAATCCTTCTCACCTAAAAGCTTAAATAGAACCCTTTGAATTAGGAATAGAGGGTTTTAGGCTTTGTTTGGTTGTGTTGTGCTGCGATGTGTTTAGCTGTGCTGGTGCTATGGAGTAATGCAGATAACTACTTGGAAAGATAGTCTAAAATGCTATAAGAGTTGAAGTTGTTCAGCAAAAAGCTGTTTTGGAACTGATATGAGTGACTAGATGACTGAAAAAATATTAGTATAAATTATATAATACTATAATAGTATACATTATCTCATATTTAATGAGATAAATACTTGGAAAGATAGCCTAAAATGCTATAAGATTTGAAGTTTTTTGGTAAAAAAAACCTATTTTGGCACTGATATGAGTGACTAGATGACTGAAAAAAAAAAATATTATTATAAATTATCTGATGCTATAACATTATAATTTAATTATAAATATTGACTAATTAATTACAAAATAATGAAGATGTTTATTTAAAAAATGAAACAGCTAAATTTCACAAAAATAATTTTCTATAAATCCAGCTAAACCAACATTCTAAGAAACATACAATTGAACTTTTTTTTCATAGTTAGTTTCACCAAATGCCTTAAAATTGAGTTTGCTATTCAAGAAAGCATAAAGCCTGAATAAAACAACCCTTGGCAAATCCCAAATTTCCACCTAATTATGAAATCCCGGCAATATTTATTGGATAAAATAAATCTAACCAAAGGAAGAGAGAAAGAGAAATGAAAGAAATGAGCAAGAAGATGAAAAGATAATAAACATCAACAAAATAATTGGTGTTATCCATATTTGTAGCTGATTTAATGAATTCTCATTCTTCAATTATTCCCATTCAGTGTTTCATAGAGTGTTAACTCTAAAAGAAAAGAGAGATTACTTTAAAAATAATTTATAATATAACCAACAAAAATTTAATCAACTAATGATACTTACATAATTAGATCACTAATTCACTACTTAATATGGTAATCAGCTCTAAAAATATGCAATAGAGCTAGACGGTTATTTTGTAGATTTAATTAATCAATTAAAAGCATAATTAGGGATGTTTATTCTATGAGTTGATTAGTTCTTCATAATAGTCAAAAAATACACATGGGTTAGTTTTATAATAAGTTTCAAGTAATACAATAAGATAATGTGAAATATAATGATTATTTAATAGCTCAACTACCTGCTGATAATTTCATAAAACATGTATAGAACTAATTACCAATATATTAGTGATGACTTAATAATACCATGTTTTGATTAATGTTTAAATGATAATCAATTAATCATGATTGTCTACAACAAGCATTCAATTAGTAGCTACCAACTACAACTATCTACTAAATAAATGAGTTAAGTCACTTAAATATAGCTGCAATGCACAATGATTAGGAAATAATTAACTGTACTTACTACCGAATTGATTTTCTTGAGTAGCTAATATTATGATAAGTAGCTAATAAATTAAGTTTGCTAGCTATCATTTATCTTCAATTAGTAGCAACATTTGTACAGATACGGCCCATAGTACAAATTAACTGCGGCACTACATACTTCTTGAGTAACCCTTTGTAAGAATAGCAACGCACAACACAGTTCAGTAGCATCACAACATTACTAAATCAAAGCCCAAGTCCTCAGTTCTGGTGCTGTAAAGATAGACAAAAACAAAAAGCTTGAAAGTGATGATTTTGGTTTACTTCCCAAACCTAGATTCTAGACCATGTATATCAACTAACATTAGAATAGAAAATTACAAACAATCACGGTAAATTATTAGGTGCGGACATCCAACGGACTACGGAGAGAACTGTCCGGTCTTCTCTCTAGAAAGCGCAGTCAAAGTGCAATCAAAGCGCATCTGCTACAGTAACTGCACTTTTACTATAGATAGAGAGAAAACCGGACGATTCTCTCCGTCCCGTGGCTGCACCTAATAATTTCTCATCGCAGGCTAAATTTCGAAATCAAGGAAGTATTAAAACCCCACAAGTCCAGGTTTTTAGCATATTTTAACATAATTGTTAAGGAAATTATAAACTTGAAACAAGCAAACCCTTCTAACCTATCTCTAAAACGGTTATCATTCAGTGACATGATTCTATATTCAGCAAGCAATGCCTTAAAGGTCCTTTCATAATTACTCAAAAAAATGTCATTACTAGTGATTGTAGAAGGGGTAGAGATGAGGAGGGAGAGAGAGAGAGAGGAGGTTTTACCATGTAACAGAGCGGAGAGACTCCCCATGGACATATAATCATAAACAAGAAGCTTCTCATCCTTGCTGAAGTAATAAGCTTTGAGAGGCACCAAATTCTCATGGTCCATGGATCCCACCGCTTCTATCTTTTCCCTAAACTCCTGCTCCACCAAATTCACATCCCTCAGCCGCTTCACGGCCACTACCGCCCCGATTTCCAACAATGCCTTGTAGGCCGTTCCAAACGTCCCCTTCCCCAATACCTCAGCCGAGGCACGCAGCAAATCTTCCAAATCAAACTGTCCATCTCCCGCCCTTCCAAAGAACACCAACCTCTTACCAATGTCCGGCTTCTTCTCTGCCGCCACTCCCGTTGCAGCCGCCACCGCCGCCACCTCACCCCTCTCCCTACCACCGGCCACTGCCTCCGGCGGCTTTGCTGCCACCGCCGCGGCCTCCACTGCCCTAGTCTTACTCCCGCCGCTTCTACGGCACACGAACACCAAAAGAATCAGTAGTATGAGCACCACTGCGGCCGATCCAACAGCTATTCCAGCGATGGCGCCACCAGAGAGCTTACTTCCGCTGCCGTCGGAGGAAGTACGGCCTCCGCCTTTTCCTCCGGGGATCCCTGCAGGCCCCGGTGCCGGACCTGGCGAGATCTCCCCGGGACACGGAGCCAGCGGGCCGCCGCACAGCGACATCCCTATAAACGAACTCGCAGGCATCTTCTTAAGCCCGGAAGGAACCGAGCCATTCAGCCGATTGTACGATACGTTGAACTGCTCGAGATATGGTGGATCGATGTTCGGGATGCTGCCCTCAAGTTGATTCCTCTCAAGGTACAGCGTCCTGAGGCGAGAGAGATTCCCAAACGCCGGTGAGATCTGGCCAGTGAAGCCATTCCCGGCGAGATTCAAGCGAATAAGTTTCTGCAACTTGAAAAGGGCCGAAGGAATGTCGCCAGAAAAACGATTGTCCTGCAAATAGAGGCTGCGGAGTTCACCGGCACCGCCGAGGTCAGACGGTAGGCTGCCGGAGAGACCGTTATACCGAAGGCTGAGGGTACGGAGGGCGGTGAGGTTACCAATGGTACCGGTGGGGATCGCGCCTATGAGGCCGACGGCGGGGAGACGGAGGGTGTCGACGCGGTTCTGTAAGCATCGGACGCCCTGCCATGTGCAGGGCGAGTCTGTGACGTTCCACCGCAGCACGGCGCGGCCGACGGCATCGCGGAGGCCAAGTAGAGCGGCACGGTCGGAGGTGAGATCAGGTGCTCCACCGCCGAGGAACGAGAAGAGGAGGAAGGCGAGGAAGAGCGGCTGCAAATCCATCTGAACGGTGAGCTGAAGGAGGAGGAAGGAGAAGTCCTATGCTACCCGCTCCTCATTCTTGACAGAGCTGACAGAGAAGCAGAAGTTGTCTAGGCGCTATACTGCTATAAAACCCGAGTCTTTTTAACTCTTCATTTTTCTATTTACCTAAATATTTTATTTTTCTGAACTGAATATAATATTTCTATTTTTTAAAATAAATATAATCATTTATTTGACATTTTCAAATTCAAACTCCTCATTCTTGACAGAGCTGACAGAGAAGCAGAAGTTGTCTAGGCGCTATACTGCTATAAAACCCGAGTCTTTTTAACTCTTCATTTTTCTATTTACCTAAATATTTTATTTTTCTGAACTGAATATAATATTTCTATTTTTTAAAATAAATATAATCATTTATTTGACATATTCAAATTCAAACTTTTAAATCTAATAAAAAAAAAGCTTATTTTTTAATAATTTCTAATCCAATCTTTTTTAGATCTACTTTTATTTTTTTAATATATAAATCATGTCTAATACATCTACTTTCTTTATTTTTTTTTATCTTTTTATTATTATTGTTTTTTATTTTTATATCCTAATCTAGTCATCAAAAGAGGACATTTTATGTTACCAAATCATTTAAGACAACTCTCTAAATTTTACCCCTAAATCCTAATTTTAAAAATAAAAAATATTTTGTTTTTAAAATTAAAAAAATATTCTAAATATAAATATATATAAAAAAATTTAAATTCTTAATAGCATAACTAGCTTAACATGTTTGTTAAATTTATTATATTAAGAATTATTTTAATGAATATTGATTAAACAAATGAAATCAAATTATTTTTCAAATTTTAATAAATAATTATAATTTATGAAAATTAGTTTTATTTACGTAATTAATAAATTAATATTTTGGCTATAAATGCTAATTATTTATTTTTATCTTTAATTCAAATTAGAGAGAAATTTATAAAAAAAAAATCGTTTATTATTTATTAGTTATTTTAAATGAAAACCGTAGCCTCAGCCTCCCATTTTCGTCGTGGGTCAATGATTAGATTGGGTCGGCTTTAGGAAAGCGGCTAAAGCGCTAAGACCTGTCTAGAATGGCGTGGATTAAAGAGAAAAGGGCGTGCGATTATCAATGAGGAAGAATCTATGCATTGTCTTATTTCCTACCTTGGAGCGTAAAAAAGGAAACTATTTGAATAAGAATATAATTAAAAACTAAATTAACGCAAATCTAATATATAAAGAATTAATTAATTGTAAATTATATATGACTAAAAAATTTTAGATTAAAATATTTTACTAAGATTTTATTTGGGACTTATTGCTTTGTTTATTAAGATTGCAATCATAATTTTTATTTAGTCAAATTATACTTAAAAGTTACTTTTTACATTTTACAGCAACTTTAAAAATTTAATTTCTTTATAGTAGCTTTATAAAGCAATAATAAAATTATACCAAACAATTTTCTTACTATTTCATAAAGCATTTTTCTAGTATACATTTTTTTTTTTTTTTGAATTTGAAATATAAGG